TCACAAACGTTTGGGCTGTCCATGGGCAGAATGTATTGGTTAAAAGAAAGGAGAAGCCCTGGCCAGTGTGGCTCAGTTGGTTGGAGCATCTTCCCCTACACCTAAAGGTCATGGGCTCGATTCCCGGTCATGGTGGGTGCAGTAGGGAGCTGATGGATGCTTCTCTCACATCGATGTTTCTCTCGCTCCCCTCCTCTCTCTCAAATCAATAAAAACATATCCTCGGGTGAGGATTTTTTTTTTAATTAAAAAAAGAAAGAGAAAGGAGTAGATTTAGACTGCTCGAACTTGAAATCCCGTGTGACCTTGGCATGTTACTCACAGGATTGTTGAGAGGATTAAATGTGTGTGAAACACAGGGAACAATATGAGAGTCTGAGCCCCTGCCCCCACCCCCACCCCAGGGTCCCTCTGCCATTTCTCCCCAACAGCACCACCATCCCCAGAGGTCCCAGCACTATTTTAGCATCTAGGCAGGCAGCTGGGGTGGGGAGGGGGCCGCCACCCAGGCACAAGGCTTCCCCCTCCCCCTGCTGGGGAAGGCGCACTGGCTTCTGCCTCCATTCCCTCCTGTTTGTGGGCACAGCCTTCCTCTTCTCGACATGGGGAATCCAAAGCGGGACATGGGGAATCCAAAGCAGAACGGGAGAGGAATCAGCTGGTGGGAGTCAGCAGTGTCGCGCTGATAGACAAGACGGACAAGACGCAGACAGCAAAGACCCTGAAGGGCCTGATCAAGAAAAAGGAGAAGGCAGGGGTAGGTGTGCTGCGGGCAGGAGGGCCTTGGGCAATCTTGAGAGCAGCAGTGAGGACACCTCACGGTACACAGGGGGAGCGGGAGGCAAGAAGGCTTCAGGCCCAGGGTTCCAACACAGGCCCAGGGTTCCAACACTGGCCTCCTCCCAGCCGGTTCCCCACCCCCTCAGGAGGGAGGACTTAAATTGGTCTTCTTACATCCTTCACAGGAAGTGGTGAAGAAAGAGGAGAAGTCGGGGTCTGGGCAGTCACCCATACAAGGAAACCTAAAGAAGGAAGACGCCACAAAGACAAGCAAGGGGAGTAAGTGCTGGTACCCCTCTGGGTGTGGTACCCCTTCTTGGTGTGGAGGAAGGAGCAGTGGGCAGGGTGCAGGAGGCACGCGCTGGTCTTCTGGGCACATCCCTTCCTAGTCCGTTTCCTTCCAGGAGATGGTGTGGAAAGCCCTACCCAGTCCCTTATCCTGACCACTGCAGCTCGCTTCCCTGGGCCTGACCCCAGGGAAGAGGGCCTTGCCCTGAGAAGAGGACCCTCTCCAGCTGGGGTCCCCTCAAACTCCGCTTCTGTTGCACCCAAACCCAGTTTGAGGAGTCGCCTTCCTGGCCCAGCCCTTCTCTCTGGGGACTCTGGGTGGTAACAGGTCTGCACTGTGCGTTCTGACCCTCTTCCTGCCCCAGAGGTGACCATCCCCGAGCAGAAGCCAAGCAGGGGGAAAGGGCAGAAGACCGGGAGCAAGGAGAAGCGCAGCATCCTCCTGGAGTCAGAGGTGGGCTCCGGGCGGGGGTGTGGTCGGGATGGGGGCGGCACGTCCTGTACTGTGGCAGCGGCCACTTCCACATGACACCCCCGTCCCAGCCTGGGCTTTCGGGGGGACAACAGGATGCCCCTCCCTTCAGGTTTGAGGAGCCCCCTCCCCCGCTTTTTCCTTGCTCATTAGGAGCTCACACTTCTGATCCTGTCTCACCTCAGTTTGCTTCCCAAAAGGCCACTGACTGACCATCACCACCTCCACGTCTGCTGGGACAGCTGCCCTGGGCACAGGGCGTCTATAGTCATGCTGTTGCCCCACTGTGTGAGGCTCCTCAGACCCTCCTTGCCCTGGAGTCTCCCTTTCCCTCCCACTAGGACCAATTTGTTCCTTGCTTCCCGGACGGTCACCCATAGCTCCCTCCTGCCAGCCGTCCTCTCCGAGAGGTTGTCTCTGGCCATCAGGAGACCTTCCCTCTTAGGAGTCCTCTCTGGCGTCTGAGACAAGACCTTGCAAAAGAGGACGGTCAGGCAGAGAAGGGGGTGAGGCGCCTCGCACTCCGTTGTCCCCTCTTGTCCAGGCTGCTGTTTCTCCCCAGGACTATGGCGCTTTCTTCTCCTCCTCTCTTCACCAGTCCCTCCCATCACTGCCCTCGGCGCCCGCGCTAGCCCTTAGGAAACGGGAAAACCCGTGTGCCATGTACTGTTTCAGGCCTTTGACCACCTGCTTTCTTTGCCTGGAACACCTTTCCTCTCATCTTCACCTGGTATCTACTGGGTACCATTCAGACTGCAGCTCACAGGCCACCTCTGCTGGGGGACCGGGCTAGTGCCCCTCCTCTGTGCTCCTGCAGTGCCCTGAGCAGACCTCTGCCACTTGTCACGCACACAGACCATACTATCATTTCACTTTCTGCCTCCCACACCCCGTTGCTTCTTGAGGATATGGGCATATTTATTTCTGTATCCCCAGCACCTAGGACAGAGCCTGCACTATAGCCAGCCCTCAAAACATGTGTGTTGAATGAATGAATGAATGAATGACCAGCCTCTCCTTTGCTGCAATTGCTATTCTACTTTAGCAGCTGATTGTTGAAGCTACGGAGATGGTCAACCCTCTCTTGGAGCCCGTGGAACACCGAGATGGGAAAGTTTTCTTGCTTGGGAACAAGGTCCTTTTGCACCTCAACCTCCTCCGTAAGTGTGCCAACCAGCCCTGCCCTCCTGTGCCAAGGCTACTCGAGGCCCATACTGCCCTAAGGGTGCGCGCCCCCCCCCCCCCCCCCCACCTGGTTCTCCCCCGGTTGGAGAGACACCATCATGATGTCGGAGGCCCTTTTGAGTGAGAGGAAGTCAGCTCATGGGTCGGGCAATTGAAGGGAGTGAGAGAGAGAAGTAGGGGTGGGAAAAAGAAAAAGGCTGAGGGAAGGCAGAGGAGTCAGAGCTGGCGAGCTGGGAGCTGGCGGTGGAGTGAGGCTGTGAAGGGTGTCCCCTGAGGGTGGTGGTGTAAGAGGCACTGTTGGCTCCTTCCACCAGGAAACCGCATCACCGAGGTGGGGCTGGAGGGTTTCCTCAATGTGGTGCGGTACCAGGCGCAGTTCTCCAAGTCCTCCAAGAGTGCGGCCAAGGGCCCCGTGGGGCTGCTCTGGCTGTCTCTGGCGGTGAGTCCCCTTCGCTGCCCTGCGCCGCTTCTGTAGTTCCTAGTTCTTTTTATCACCACGTGCCCTCCGTCTGTCTTGCTGTGAGATTAGCACATACTCACTCTGCCTTTTGTCCATGTCCCGCAGCCCCTCACCCATCCTGACCCAGAAGACTTTTCTCCCAGAAAACTCATTTCCATCCCTTTTGTCAGCTGTCGGCCTTCCTTTTCCTCCTTCAGAAAAACAACTTCTCCCCGCAAAGCCCCATGTACATCATGATGCAGGAACTGATGCTGCCAAGGGACCCCATCAGTAAGGCCAAGCACAGAGAGGAGGAGGCCATGGCTTCCGCCACCTAGGCCCCCCCCCCCCGCCCCCCACCTCCCGCTCACAGGCTCTGGCCACAGAAGCATCTCCTGCCCAGGTGTGGGCTGACCTCCCTAGGTGAGATCTCAGGTCAGTAACAAAGGCCACTGCTGTACTTTCCCCTTGAAGTTGTCTAAAAACTTTGTTCTGGAAATACTTGGAACATTTGGACTCTTGAGTCTGTTCATGTAACGGCCAGGAATGGCTGAATCGCTGCAGTTTGCCGGGTCTTGCTCTCCTGCCTCCTGAGGGCCTAGTTCTTGCTTGCTCCGGCCACAGCCACTCTCTCCTGTGCTCCTGGAGCACCTGCACCTACAGACGTCCGCAATCCTAAACCAGGACACCCAAATGGTGCGGGGCCAGAGGAGTCAGGAGCTGGGGGCCCATCAGTGTGGCTCCCTCGGGACCTACTGACAAGGCGGAGAGTGCATAGGGCTGGCTCCTGGGAGCCAAGAGCCACTTTACAGGGAGCTCCCAGGGAAGTGTCCCTCCTTCCCTGCTGGGCAGTTAACCTGGTCCACATCCCCTCACTCTGTTGCCTCGACAGAGATGTGCTCTCCCTGCCGAGAACGCTCTTGGTGAAGCTCAGTGGCTCTCCAGGCTTCTCGGCCTCTGACCACCTGCTCAGCCCTGGGCAGCTGGCTGAGCTGCTGCAGGAAACCTGGCCAGCGTTAGATTCCAACATGAGAACACGAGCAATTACAGGTGGCTGGCGAGGACTAGTCCCCTCAGCTTCTCCAGTTGTTCCTACCTGAATCCTTCTAAGGCAGTAACCTTCCTCATGCCGCGACCCTTTAATACAGTTCCTCATGTTGTGGTGACCCCCAACCATAAAATTATTTTCGTTGCTACTTCATAACTGTAATTTTGCTATTGTTATGAATCGTAATGTAAATATCTGATATGCTATATGTGTTTTCCAATGGTCGCGACCCACAGGTTGAGAACCGCTGCTCTAAGGTAAAGCTTCTGTGAACCTTTCCGGCCCATTCTTATTCGCACTTAAGCACCAATGACTGTGCACTAATTCTCATGCCCAATTAGACCATAAGCTCACGAGGTCAGCACCTGGAATCGTGATAAGTTAGGAGGGAGGATATTAGGGCTGAAAGAGAATTTGTCTCTAAGGCCAACAGTGAAGGCAAAGAGATAGTGAAGATTTGGATGGTTAGTCAGAGGATGTGGCTGTGTCGGTCGTGGCTGGCTTGGGGGTGCAGAGCCTGCAGGGGGTGCAGGCTGAGATGCCCCTCCCCTGCATGCTTGCCTTTAAAGCCCTGACGCTCACTGAGGGCAGCTCAGGAGGTCTCGTGACTTAGGATCCACCGCTCCTGTATGTGTGTGTGTGTGTGTGTGCGTGCGTGTGTGTGTATGTATGTGTATGTGTGTGTGTGTATGTGTGTGTGTATGTGTGTGTGTGTGTGTGTGTGTGTGTGTAAGTGGGTGAAGTGTCTTTTTGTGTTTTGGCCGTGGGGCTGTGTAACTTAGTTTGCCCAACTGAACTTCAGTGAGCACACATTTGGAGCTTGGGAGAGAATGTGGCAAGAGCTGGGTCTGGGACTGGATGTCGGGTGAGGGGGGACGTCCTTCTGTCCCTCTATCCAGCCGCAGGGGGAACAACCACAATAGCTTTTATCATAGCAGTTCCAAGAATCACACACACACCACGACAGGTGAAGAATATTTAACTTTTCTTAAAAAAAAAATCTTAATCATGAAAGGAAGAAAATAAGAGTATACATTATTTTAACAGCAGAACAGTCATTTCCATATCTGTATTTTATATATTATATATATATTTATATATGTATATATACACCTAGCACAGTGTGTATATTCTGAGTCAGTGGGGAGTGCCATGGACATGGTAACAGGGGCCAATGTTGCAGTGGCTCCTGGGTGAACTTAGGGACTCCAGCATTTGAACCCCCTACTCTGGGGCCCACCCAGTTTTTAGCTCCGTACCTGATACACCGGTTTTCTGTAGGGAAAGGGTGGACACAGGTGGGGTGGGAAGTCCAGTGGGGAGGGTGTAGCTTGGCCCTGAGCCGCGGAGACCGGACTCCTGCGCTAGGTGGGCCCACAAGGGACTGGCTCAACCTTCAGGCCCTGATCCAGGAGCTGGGCGAGAACTAGGAGCTGCACCTCCGCTCCCCTTGGCAGTGGCTCTGTGGCTGCCTCCAGCACACCAGGAACAGAAAGGTCCAAGTTATTTACAACAGCAAAGATGCACGTACAATACATACATATTTATAGGAATCCAAGTGACGGAGAGGGGAGGTGGAGGCACCCCCCTGAGCCTTGGGACCCTGGGGGGAAGGAAGGGGAAGAAAGTGCATTTACACAGAAGCCTTCCCCATTCCCTCGCATGCCTGAGGTACCCACGCGCACCAGTGGACACGCATATGTGGGACAAGGGGGCCTTAAAGATGCAGCCAGCATGCACAGGACCGGTGGCCTGAGGGAGGGAAAAAGACCCTGAAACTGGCCCTGGCCGGTGTTGCTCAGTGGTTAGTGTTTGATCCCCAGCCTCTGGTCAGGGTGCCAGCGAGAGGCAACCACTCGATGTCTCTCTCCCCCTCTTTTCTACTTTCTCTTAAAAAAAAAAAAATCAATGGAAAATATCCTCGGGTGAGGATGAGCAAGACACTGAAACTGGACTCCCAAGCAACATGTGGGTCTGCCCCAGTAGATCCGTCTCCTGAACTGCCTCTATCTACCACGGGAGGAGGCTGGGTATCCCCACCCTGCGCCCTGCCCTAGGCCATCCCGAGCGAGGAGTGGGGTGCAGAGGACCGGTGGTGTGCACAGCTACAGTCCTGGGGGTGTGGCTGCGTCTGCCACGCTGTCTTCCCGGGGGCTTCTGGTGCCTGTGGAGGATGCAGTGATGACTGAGGAACTGGCCTGAGATGGCCCCTCTCTCATGTTTTGCCCGGAAAGTCCTCAAGCTCATAAGAACTGGGGGAATTACCTGTACTCAGGGAGCAATGAGACCCCCCCCCCCAGAACCCCCTTTCGCCTCACACTGCGTGGCGGCGTGTCCTCACTAGCGGACGTTTCCTCCCCTGGGGCTGGTACGAAGAGGAAATCAGCTTCACTCACTGTCCTCGGGGCAGGGCCCCAGTTCGTGGCTGTCCCAGGAGGCAGAGGGCGGGGGATCCTTCACTGGAGGGGACAGGGAGCAATCTGCCCACTTCGCCGCTTCTGTGTGGAAACTGCCCACAGGCGTGGTGCCGCCAGAGGACTCGCCCCCGAGGGACCTGAGCAGCTCCCTGTAGGCCAGTTCCATGTCCTGGAAGAGTGCGGAGGGTCCGGTTCAGAAGGTCCCTGGGTGCACCGAGGGGAGCCCTGGGCAGGCCAAGAGCTAGGGCTCCCATGGACACACTACCAGTCCAAGCTTCCCCCCACCCGCCCGACTGAAAACAGGCTGCTCCTACTGCCTTGAGGGCCTGAGCCCCAGTCCCCTCACCTTGAGCCTGTTGAGCTTGAGGGTGAGTTGCTCAATGGTTTGGAAGATTATGCCCATGTCCTTGACGGCCAGGCTGGGGGGCGAGCAGCTGGGGCGCCTCGGCTCTCCATTGCCTCCCCGCGGCTGCGGCTCGGTCCGCCAGGCAGGGAGGCCGTTGGGCTGAGAGAGGTCGGTGCTGGAGTCGGGGGGTCCTGCTGGCATGCTGACATAGAAACAGTTCCCTGTCCCCATGGCGAGAGCGAGAGATTAGGAGGCAAGTGCAGAGCAAGTGGAAGCCACCTTCTCTCCCTTGGCGCTCGCCCTGCTGCCTGACTGGGCCAAGGAGACCGTCCTACGATGAGCTCAGAGCACTCTGCCTCCTGCTGCCTACTGCGCGCCTGGAGCGCTCCTCCTCCAGAGCCTTCTGGATGGCAATTCTGCTTAGTGTGTCCCATCCCCGGGGAAGACACTCAGTGTGACAGTTAAGGCAGAGTGGCAGGGTTGTGTTTCATTTGGGAAATGGGGAAGGGCTCCCATTCCTAGAAGGAAGGGTAAGGAGGTGGTGGCTGGTTCAGGAACTTGTGAAAAGCCACGGGCAGTAGCCTCCTTGACCCTGCCCATCGGCCATTTGCTTCACAATCCTGGAGATACCTCCACTCATCATTGGGGGCCAGGCAGGCGGAGGAAGGACGCAGAGGGTCCCTGCCCGGGCAGTAGGCATAGGTGGACGCCAAGGAACTGTGGAGGGCACGGAAGCCTATGTCCACCTTGACACTGGAGCAGTGGCTGGTGTGGGCAAGAAGTGGCTCGCCATCAGGCTCTCGGGTGAGGACACTGGGCACCGGGCCAGGCTTCCCACCCACATGACAGCACAGCGGCTCACCCTCCTGCTCTGCAAGACGCCTGGGCAGCTCTCGACAAGGGGGTGGCACAAGGCCTGTCCCTGTCTGTGGCCCAGGGCCCGGCTCTGCCCTCTGGGCCCCACACTCAGCGTGGCCGTCTCTGGCTCCCAGGAGGGGTTCATTACCCGTAGCCTTGGCTCCGCCTTCCACTTCAGGTGGCTCAGCCTCTGACTGGCCACCCTCTGGTAGAGCAGGGACAGCCTTACTGCCTGCCACCTCAGCTGCACCGCCACCGCCACCACCACCACCAGGGAGAGCAGAAACCAGAAGAGAAGGGAAGGGAAGGAGAGGAGGAAGAAGTGGGGGTGGAGAGAAAGAAAAAGGGAAGAACACAGTGAACACAAGCTCACACGTGACTCTACCCCAGGGAGCTGCGGAGAACTTTCCCACCAATTCACCAAAGGAGAGAGAAGGAAGGTCAGTTCCCAGAAACCCAGGAGAGAGGGCAGACCTTGAGCAGATGAGTAATAAATGCTCCTGGAAAGGGAGGCAGAGCTGAGCACGAGGGGAGGATCGGGAACTCCTGGCACTGACGGGAATCCCATCCCACTCCTCAGGGGTGCCCTGGCCTGCTGCTCTCCTCCACCGGGCTTCCCTCTCCCGCCGACCCCTCCCCTGCCAGGGCTCACTGCTCTGGCCAAACCCGTCCT